TCTCTCTCTCTCCTCTCTCTCTCACCTTTGGAGACTAGTCCATTCTTTCACAAAGCAAGAAAACATTTGCCATAGAAGTTTTAGTTTCCGAGTTGTAGTTTATATTGGAAGTGATTTATGGTCCTCTGATTTTGTTCTGCAGGTAGATCTGCAGCAACAGGAAGCTGTGGCTGAAGCAGTCCATGCTCTTTTCTTGGTTCTGTGCACTTCTTATCGGTACGGTGTTGTCTTCCACGATCGTGCATTAGGAACAAAATCCAGGATGAATGTTATGGTTGCAAATATTTTGAAGGTTAGTGTATAATAAGAATTGCTTAATTGTCACATGCCATTCAATGTTAATTATTTATCTATTGATTTGTCTTAAGCCTTTTGCATGACAATAACTTCTAATTTTAGATTGCACTACAAATAAAAATACTATGTTTTTAATTGTATTTTGAATGACTTAAAGTTCAAAGTACTATTTCACAATTGTCATAAAAATATACAATCTAGTGATCTGTGCTCACTATATTGTTTTTGTCAGATTAATATAATTATCTGAATATAAAACAAGATTTTTGCCAAATATCTCATTGAAAAAATAGGACATCCCACCTTTGCAGATTAAGCATAATCAGTTGGCACTTCAATTTTTCCATTGTCTTTCTATCCCAAGAAACTTTTGTTGAATTTTGAGTTCATGGTTTTTAAAGAAGCAGAGGCTTCAAAAAGGAGATGCTCCTGTCTGTTGGGTGATTTTGGTGAATAATGAAAACCTGGTTTACTTTAGCCAGTATTCAACAAACTTGTCATCAGAGCTTTCCAATTGGCTGTTTCCTACAAGTAACAGTTATAATTATTTCCTGCATTTTGATTTGTATCATAAGAAAGTAAAAGAAGATTTTATTCACAATGAAAATGTTTGTTTCCTGAGATGGCAAAAAGATCCAAGGGGGCTAAATTTCTTGACTGATTAAAATTTATTTACTCTTTGAGTGCCATACATTATTTTATTTATTATTACAATGTTAAAAAAGTGAAAATAAAAATGTCAAAATTTCACTCATGCCCAAACTGGATGCATCTTTTATTTTCTACGTTATTTCACGAATATATTATTTTTGCATAAGATTGTTGTCATAAGGACATAATCTAATTGATCCATTGTGAATTATGTAAATTTTAATAGTTGAGAAATAAAAGTATTAGTCAGCTTCAATGTGATAAATGGTGGTTTACATAGCTGCAAAGAATAAGTAACTAATATTTGATTGGTGTAAGTGACAACTGAAAATTATTACTTCTATATTACTATTAAATTTATGGATTTACTAATAGCATTTTTTTAAATTCATTAATTTTCTATTGGAAAATGTTTGTTACTGTTCAAGGGAATTTTTTATTGATTAAGTAATATTTTTTAATTAACCATAATTGTTGCTACTTGATATTTATAAACACCCTTTTAATTTCCAATACAATAATTGTATCGTAATTTAATAATTGTTTCTTCCGTAGTTTATTCATTCACATTTTGACAGAAGGAAAGGCAAATAATAATTGAATCTTTCAGGAATTGGACCGGCCTTGGGAGAACAACTTGCTTACTGATCTTGTAGTGAAGATTGCTAGTGTGCGTCCTGAACTCTCTCCGATATCTTACAGCCGTGTGGTACCTGTTTTAGAACCTCGTGCTACCAAACCTTGGACAATGGCAGTTAGTTTTGTGACTCGGGTACGTTCTCAACCTTAATTTCTTGCACGGGTTAAATTGTGGATTCCTGATGGTGATATTGCAATTACAAGTTTTTGTATTAAAGTCCAGAAGATGCTAAGCCTCCAAATATCCAAAAAAGATATTTCCCTCTAAGTTGCTCTAAACCTTGGTCTTTTTCCATTCTGTTCTGCTATGCAATTTTGGATCTTTGACTTTAAAATGATATTAATAGAAGACATTGATGTAGTCATCTCTTGAAAGATGTTAAATGCGAAATAATTGAGGTAGAAGTTCTGATTATTTCCTAAGGTTGTCAGTTTGTTTTTCAGACTCGTTCTAGATTTATTGGTAAGCATCATTAGCATCAAGTGAAAGTATTAAAAGTAGTTAGCTCACAGGTGACTGGATGTAGGGGTGGTCTGGCTGGTTTCTCTCCTTCGAAGGTGCTTACAGTTTCTCAGACCACTTTTGTGAATGTCAAAAGGAGTAATGTAGGTAGCAATTAGTCACACTATACAATATCAGTATACTTAAAGCACCTTGGGTCAACTTTCAAAAGAATTAATGTATTTGAAAGTGGGATCAAAGTAAAAAAATTTAAATAGCATTTTTGTATGACACTGTGTGAAGGGTAAGATCTTTCTGACAATGGGAAATGCATTGTTTTACTCTGTTGAATAATTCTTATTGGCTATTTCAATTTTTTAAAATTTTTTATTGAGGTCATTTTGCCCTATTTGACTTGGGTAATCTTTGTCGGTCATTTATAGAATGTTAACTTATTGCTCAGAATGTATTCAACAGAAAGTAAAGTTGGTTTATGGAAAGTTATTTTTCAGTGGAATTTTTAATTATTTGTGAATATCTATTGAAAGATCTTTGCAGTTATACACGTTCACCTTTCTTTTCGTCTATACAATATTGTTATATTAATTACATCTGTTGGTATGTTTGTTGCATGTTTTCAATTGGACTGCTCTTATTGTGATTTTAAACCTACCAATAAAACAAAATAAAATCAACATAAAACTCAGAAGAAAAAATAATACAACCTTAGACCTATGTAATACAAAAGTTTGTGTATGACCAGTTGGTAACAACAGGTGGGCAACTAATACAGAATTAATGGAGGTTCTACGCACTTCAGTTTGTAGACACTAAAGTCAAATGTATGTATATTGTAAGCTGACCCTTCACATGGCTGACACGACTCACCTGATTACGTCTGATCCAGCGGTGCCCCGGCTGCTCAGTCTGCAGGCTTCCTAGAGGGAGGCATGCATGATAGGGCTAACTCTAATGCTCCCACTACATGTAAACACATTGTTTCTTTTTTAAATTGTGGTTTTATTGTTCTTTCTCGAAGGAGGTGAATCCTGAAGGTAAAATTAATACTTAGAGCTACCGTATATCTAATCTTATCTTATGTGGGCGTACGGGCCATCTTGCCCCTGCCCAGGCGCGTGGCGTGGCGAGGTCGGCGGTCGGGCACCAAAGCGACCCGCCCTCGTCTCGGCATGGCTCGGGGTCGGAGCGCCTTTGCTCTAGCGCCTTTGAGCTGCCTCGCCCGCGGGCGCACGAGTCTTGCCGAAGGGTGCGACGGCGGTGCAGCGCTTAAAGACGACGTCGTCCGTATTTTCCCATGAGTTACCGGATGCGGCCAGGTGGGGGTTGTGTGGAGACAATGGGGCGGGATACCTCTGCGCTTGCAGGGAGAGAATAAACAGCACAATTCCTGGCAACTTTCGCAGCGACGTTATATTTAATATAATTTTAAAACACACGTCGCCACCTGACGCCTGCGACTGTTCATCCGATTTACATAAGTTTCTTCAAGTTGCATTTTCTTTGTATATCAATCATGAATCATTCAGATTGATACAATCTTTCATCCAGATCATACTTCCTTCCAGTTGCGTTGATACCAATTTGTTCTTCTGTCACACTCAACTTTTCTTTCGCATTTTAAGATCCAATTTCAAGTTCACAGTATTATCGTAGTATCCAGGCAGAAAATGTACACACTTAATACCACACTTGACGCAAATAATACCCGCACCCCAATTTACAGCTAGTGTTGCATATTATATGTCATTATCAATAAGTTAGTTTACATGTTCTTTTCCTCTAAAGAGTTTTTTTCTTTTCTTTTTTTTTTTCCAGATTCTTTCTGCTCTAAAGTTAAATGATCTAACCTCCTTGGAACCTCAGGCTGCTCTTGAATGTGCAAAAAAGTTAGCTGCTTCTCGACATGTAGTGATTCCTTTGTCACCAGGCTTACTGCATGAACACCCTGTTGTTCGCCATAAAACAACGATGTTTCTGCAAGCCTTGTTGAATGCTGTTGGTGTAAGTCTGACAGTTCTCCCTGAACAACAAGCTTTAGAATTTCAGCTCTACGTTAAAAAGGTAAGCCCATGTAACCTGGGAATCACCAGATCACATACATGTAGGAAGATTTTGTAATTTAAGCACATGTGCTTGTAGACATGTTTTGGTTCTGTGTGTGTTCCCCATCCATTTTTTTAAATCCAAAATTTTGGTAAGTACCCATGCTCACATTGTTCATTTTACTCTAAAATTATGTCTGCATTAAATTTCTTAGTTTTTGTAGCACTCTTATGGTTCCTAAGTGTTACAATTCTCACTTGTGCTGCTATCTGGCCTGGTAGTCCTTACCAGAATGATCCTTTAAATTGGGAGATACTTTCATCTCAGTTCTGCCTTATGGTGATTCTGATGTAAACAAAGGAACACAGCATTCATTCACAACTTCTCACCTTGTATATCAATTGGCGTGTGCGCACATAAAGGGGTCAAGTCAAGTTTTTGTCCTAAATGAGTATACCGGGACATTACTTTACTACCATTCTATCATTGCGTGTCGAGGAATAAATGACGTTCCAATTTTTCCATTAACATTTAATGGCAAATTGCTTCAGGTTCCTCCTTTAATGGTGCACATGTTCACAAACTGTCAGAGGCATCAGCGACAACACCAGCAAAATTGCAATAAGAATTTGGCTCTGATTTCCAGCAGTGACACATGCATCCCACTTCACAATCAACATTCCTACTTCATTGCTTTTTCGATAAGAAGCAGATCAAGACCTAAATTCTGTTTGGCAATGTGTCACCACATGAGAACATACCCTTAAAACTTTAATTTTTTCATCACATATTAGTTGTTTACCTCTCTTACGCTGTGTAAAAGATGCACAGTATCCACCATTATCAAATGATAGGTAGGCACAAAAATTAAATCTTTGACTGCTCTAGATACCTTTAAACATTTTTTAAATAACTTGCAAATAACCTCATAAAACTTATAACTTAATAAATAAACAATTTCTTTCACAACTTTTCCCTTTGATACGGAAATGGAAGGATAGGAAAGAGGGTGGGATTTAACATGCAAGAGTTTTTGCACAGGTACACCAGTTATTTACTTAACAAGATATTCTCTTTTTTGTTCACAGATTATTCCAAATGTTGTTGGACTTATAAAGTCTTGGAGAAAGGCATTGAAAAATTCCATTCCAGAGAAAAGTCCACCCAACATTCAAGTACCAAGTCCAACTGACCAAATGATGGCATTAGTAGATCTGATGTTTTTATATCAGAAACACTTTCCCCTTTTACTTGATGCAGGTGATGATCATGGCACACTTACAAAGATGTTGTCTTCCACCCTTGATATGGATGACAATAATGAAAACATGCTTCCATTGCAATTGAAAATTTTGAAACTTTTGGCTCAACTAGACACAGCAGTTCTAGAACCTCAAGAGGTATTTAGTTTTTCAGTAGTTTGTTTCAAAAAATGGTTTTAAAATATAGTGGAAAACAGTAAAAATTATTTATACTATTTGCTAATTGCACCAACCAATAAAAAATGCTAATTTTATGTTTCAGAGTGGATTCATTGCAGCTATGTCGATTCTTCTAAGAGCAAGTTGCAATAATGACATGATAGCTGCAGAAGCTCAGCAAACTTTAGGGGCCTTACTTGTAAAATGTCAAGTTCTAGAACCAGTTGCAGCCGATATGATTGGTGAAATGGGAATATGGCTTCAAAATTGTCAAGCAGTTCAGCCTTCCCAACGCCCAATTGTCATTTCATTCCTCCAGAATGTTTTGGTCAGTGTTGCAACAAATCCTGTGCCTTACCATGAACAAGCATTAAGAGTTCAAGAAATGATGTTCTCGTCTACCGAATTAGGAAAAATAAGGAATACACAATTGGACCAGGCTGAGCATTTATTTCAAGGTATAAAAATGCTGTGGAACATAACTATAAATTTCACTACACATTCTTGTAACAATTAATATATTAATCTATGGAGAGACAACTTTGTATATCTTTTTGAGCTAATTGTGTACTCAGAGGAGTGTCAGATTTGGTGTAGTTAAAGTTTATTTGGAGAAGGAGGAGAGATGGCAAAAATGTATGTACAATATGTGTTATAAATATACTAAATTAAATAAATAGTGTGCAAATGCAGCACACTACAACACACTACTATCATGCATAACTCAAATATGATGCGTTTTAACCCTTTCGCTCCCAATTTTTTTCTGGCCAACCGCAAAGTAGTGGATCATGGCGGATGTTAAAATTCTAGCCTTGAGAGTTATTTTTAACAATTTATTCATCTTAAATTAAATTTTTTCATATTTCAGAATTTGAAATCAGGGCACTGGGACAATATATGCCCCAATGGAATGCCTAGAATGTGGACGCATCGCGTCCCATTGGATACAAAACTAGATTAGGAACTAACTAAAAAGTCTATTTATTTCAAAATGAATCCTAAGACAAAAGGCAAACTGACACAAGAACATCACACATTGTGCATAATTCTTGTCTTCTCTCCCTGGATTTTTTTGTGAGCACATTTAGGCGCACAGTCTCCTGCTTTTCCTCCTCCAGCAGCCGATCTGTGCTGCTCACAAATTCAACACATCAGTTTTCGTGCCACTGATCGACATCCATCGTTTTGTTTCTTTGAATTGTGCCAATTGAACTTCTCCGAATCTAGAGCCCTTCGACAGAGGAACATGAAGTCCAGAAGGGGTTTTTTCCTCTTTTTTCATGTCTTGGGAGAAACTGATCATCGTCGTTCACAACTGTAAATCCAATACATTAATATTAAAAACGTTTTTCACACACACTTATGGATTGTGGTCAAGAGCTCATGGGGAAACATTCTACAGACAGATCAACTCCACCATAATTTCATCTTATAAATGAAATTGCCTTTCAGAGACATCTACTTGATACTTTGGTTCCATCTTTTTGCTTTCTTTCTACTGCTCTTGGGTCGTCTGTGCCATGACAGTCTACAAGCAACAACCTACTCTTTCGAATCCCTCCATCTAGCAAGCAAGTGTTCCAAAATTGTTTGTTCTGAAATTCAAAATCCCTCTTTTTCCCAAATTGTGGGGAATTTGGCATGTTTTTTCTGTTCAATATACACTGTTCCAACAGCCAGGAAAATTTCATGTGAGTTTCAGGAGTCTCACACTCGTAAAGACATCTTTTTAAAAAGCTAAGGACTCACAGTTCGTGATCTCAAATATTTTTCTGTTAGCTTCAAACGAACGTCGCTTCTCCGAGAGTAAGTCTTATTTTCTGTAGTCATGCTCTACCCGCATCACACATTCATACCGTAGTATACATGCCTGCTCTTGAGAAGTCAATCGCTCCCACATTTTTATAAGCCCCTCTCCCTTCGCACTGGCTTTAGAGCAAATACTGTTGAGACTGGGACCGACCTTTTTGAATTTAGTCATTGACCCTCGTCGATTGGCTCTGAATAGCGGCTTTCTGCTCTTTGCTGGGAAATGTTACTCTTCAGACATGACAACACTCTCGTCAATATAGTATGTTCTGGAAAGCAAGTATTTGGTTTTCTGGTCGATTTCACTACAAACTTGACAAAAGAACTTGCATCTGTTTCGAGACCATTGCTTTTTATTGCTTCATTACCCAGTGAAATATTGGTGGAACCCAATAATGTGAAAATTTTAGGAACTTGTTATAAGACATCACCTAGTAATAATTCGAGAAGCATCATAATTTCTCCACTGTCAGTCTTCAAGAATTTTTTGCACTTCTTCAATGGATATTTTCTTTGTAAAATTTTCAAAACTTCATCTGTACACTGGGCAATGTTATATCATTAGGCTCTAGGAAACCCAGTTTCAAAAACACCATCACATCATTTCTGAACGCGGTTTCAGGCTTTGCCACCAAAATTACTGTAGACGATTTGCAGCTACCGCTCCAGTCTTTGAAAAAATCCTATTTAACTGTGTCAGTCCAAAGAATGCCTGCAAATATTGTTTTCTTCCGCCAACTATATGTGCATTATTATCCACAGCAATCTCTCTCAAACTACTTGCATCTTTTGAATCTCATCACTACGTAGTATTACTATCTCTGCACACAAAATCTCCTCCTCAATGTATCATTCCGCAACTAAAATCCGTCCGACGTCACTGCTTTCAAAAATATATCTTCCACCCTCGTCTGCCAAGACTGTTCTCTACCTCTTTATAGCACTCAATTTTCTGAAAGCAAACAAACCGCAAAAATACTTATCAGTAATTCCTGAAATGATACGTTGGGAACCTATATATCCCAAGAAACAATCCAGTGGTGACCACATTGTCCCAATCTGACGTAAAATAGAATTCCTTACCTTCCAAATTACTTCTAAACACTTAATACAAATACATTACATCAGAAACTCAAACACTGCAATTTTAACATTCGATATCCCTGTAAACAGCCAATAGCAACCGTCCGCAAAAAGCCGTTTTCAGTCAAGGACCTCCACCGTAATGCGATCGAAATGAACTAAAACACGCCAATATACTAGTGCAATCTAGTGTAAAAACGAAGAACTAATTACGTATGCTTCAGGAACCCACTGGGACACACTATAAACTGAAATTTAAAGCAGAATTTCCCAATAGTAGCCTGGAGAAAGTTGGCGGGACATATGTATCCCGCTGGGAGCGAAGGGTTAAAACCTTAAAATCATATTCTCATTTCTCATAGGTTTTCTTTTTCCATACAAAACTAAAATTTTCTGTGCAACTGAATTGTTGATTCTTGGAATGTTCTTGCCAAGAACTTAGTAATGGGACCTAGTCTTCATTCCATCAAAATGACTTATTGCTTCATTAATGTATAAGACCTTGGACTTCAAACTCTTTTTCCTCTGATAATTTGTGATAAAATGTTACAGTGATGTATTAAATAATCATTTACATTAGCGCTGAATCAAGCTGTATCTGATATATACTGTTGCCTGTACATTACTTAAAAATGAAAAAAAGATTGTGCATTGTGCAAGAGGACATTCCCTTAAACCTTGTTCCGACCCATAGATTTTGCCTGGTAACTTAGGCTTACCTGGTTATTTAGGCCAACTTCACTATGGTGAGACAGAGCTATTAAGGAAATTACTCCCCTAATTGAAAAACAGTGAAATGAATTACTTCAAACATTTTATTTAAGTTCTTGATTGAGATGGGCTCAAGACTACTTCAGCATGACATTTTAGAAGGTAGGTGCTCTCACTGGGTAGGATGATACAAATGAGCAGTAGTATCACAAGAAAGCCAACAAAATTACCTTAAGTTATTGCAGCCAGAGATGCATAGCCTGGCATGAAAACCAAAAGGTCATCCCAACATTAAAAAAATATGGATACTGTATACTACAAGTAACAATAGTGTAAGAACGAAAATACCTAAAAGTACAACGGCTACTAAAGGAACCTACACTTCCATAGAGCATATGCCGGTGCCATTCCGAGCAGATTAATGTGTAAGTGGCCTCAGTTCAAACTAACCCCAACAAAATCCATGAGCATCAGATTTTCCTTAGGATATACTAAATGTTCATGTGCATAAAGGGAAGATTTGTGTTAATACTCCTGGTCCAATTACATTCTCTGCAGTCAGAGATCATGGGGGAATATTTATTAATCAGATTCTGAATTGGAAACATAAGGTGTAGTAAAATCAAACCCAAAACTTCACATTATGCTTAAACACAATACTTGTAAAATCAGATGGGTAAAATCATTGTGTATTCTGAGCATTTGAGTCTCTTAATATTCATTTAATCTACAATTAATAGATTACTGAGTTACATATTCATTGTATGATTTATTTCAGAATTATTGGAAATAGCAAATATTGAGAAGTCATATTTGCAAGATTTTAAGAAGAATGTGGAAGAATCTGAAGGAAAAAATAACAAAAAAATTCGTATTCATGACTTTGCTGGCACTATTGCATTGAGTCCTATGCTGATGTATATAGACTCTGTGAAGTTAAAGGAAAATTTAGATGCTTGTGTGGTGAAGTACTTGTCTTCTGTTTTGGTGCACCTTTTGCACTTGCAATCTGACCCTCGACCCTTCCTATCTATAGTAAAGAACTGGTCTGATTTACCAGATGCTGTGATGGATTATATTAATAGTTGGAGTACAGAAACACCACTTGCATTAACAAAGCCCTTTGGTAAGTAATAGTGTTGCCTTCCTATTTGTTTCTTGTTCTTATGATATAATTATTCAGTCATTAATTACTTTTTAATAGTTTAAATGTGCTATTTTTTTAATATTTTTACTGAAATATTTATGATTATTAAGAGTTACATTTAAAATGTGTACCATTCAAAAGTTAGTTTCAATATATATTTAAATTTAGCTTGCGTAATATTTGTAAACTATTTAATAATAATAATTATTATTATTATTATTATTATAATAAAAAGTATTTGTTCTATTTATGCCTCATTAGGAAAAAAATATTACGGTAGTTTATGTGAGAGCGTAGGCTTCCGCGGCCGGAGTCAGTATTTACTAGGCTGTCTGGGTGACGCCGCGTCCAAGGCGAAGGTGCTGATGTTTCAGTCGCCATTCGCCATGGACGCGGCGTCACCTGGACAGCCAAGTAAATATGGTAGTTTATGTGATTCGACTAATCAAACTCAATGTTAAACTAATTATTTGTTACCCTTTTGTCATTAGGGACTTGTTCGTTGGAAAGTTCTTTGAGCCATGCACTTTTGGGCCAAAGCAAGAATATTCCAGAATTAGAAGATTGCTCCAACCCTATTAGAATCCTACAGTTGTTGAGAATTGTGATTTTTTATATTGTTCAGTTGGCAGAAAGACAGCAGCTTACTGAAACTGTGACTTCTTTAGGATTGGATGTGTTGATAGCACTGTTTCATGCCCTGCAAGAAGCCCTTTCACAATATGAATCTTCAGAATCTGAAAAGTTCAATATAAAATGTGTTAATTTAATATTGAGACACCCAGTGTTATTATGTTACTTTTCACCCTTGCATAGAAAGAAGCAAATTACAGATAGTCTTGTGACAAGTTTCATGTTAAGCTTTTTAGATCAATGCACTGTAGTTACTAGTCCTGCTGTTGCTAAGAATTCCAGCATTCTTTTAAAAGACAAACTTTTGAGAAATATTTTGCATTATCTTGAGAGGTCAAAGCAAGCGCCAACAAACACAAACATGCTTGTCAGAGCGGTTAAAATATCAGCACTGACAGGACCAGAAATGTGTAGTTTAATGCCGAAATTGATTCAGAAAATGACCACACAACCATGGAAAGAGTTAATATGTTATCTGCTGCGGAATGTGGATTGCCTTCCATCGGAGCAGGTAGTTTCTGTGGGAAATAAACTTGTTGAACTTCTGCAAGAAGAACATGACACAAGATTAGCAGCATGGGAGGTAGTGGATTCTTACCAACATTATCTCCAACAATTTCCACATTGTGTGCATCAAGTCCCTTCTGGTAAGTTAATTCTGATGTCTGTGATACATATGTATGGAAATTCTAAACAATAATTATTACTTATGGTTTGAAATTTAGAGGATTTCAGCTCTGAAGAATGATACCTTTTGTCTATAAAGTTTAGTATCTTTAAATCAAACTTGAATGAATAAAAAGGGCTTAAATTTTAACAGAATTTTCTTTGCTGTTTAATGACTTCTATTTCTTGACCTGAGAAGAATTATCAGTATTTTCTAAATTCTTTTACATTTATTTTCTGTAATGTAGACAATAATTTCAAATTTTTGAGAAATTTTTAAATTCTTTATTGTTGCAGGACTATTCCGAAAGTGTGTCTGTGAGCGAGGTCTGAAGTTGGCTTGTGTTATTCTGCAGCATCAGTCATCATATGTGATGGAATTAAGAACTTTAGTAGAACAAAACAATCTCCTTATTGGTTCTCCAAAGGTGCTTTTTCCACTTCTGTCAAAAGCGAGTTGCCATGGCCCTCTTCCATCATCTCTTCTGAAAGCTGTTTATGATCAGTATGAAGGAAACATCTTTGAAGCAATGCAATCTCCTTTCTCTGGTACAACATGGTTTTCAGATCATGTGGATGTAATTAAACTGTTAATTTCATATATGGGTAAGTGTTCTTTTATTTTATATAGACTAAACTTAGCAGTACTTGATTTCCATAAGTTTTATTAGTAAAGCTGCAAACTTTCAGAATTGGCAAAATATATCTCGATTTAGAATGTAACTTTTTAGTTTCTCTTCTCACTTCATAAGAAGAGAAAGTATTGTAATCATGCACTAGAAATTAGTGATTTTTCAATGGAGAAACTCTTATTGCCAGAGCTCAGTAATAAAAAATTAGATAAATCTCATACTTATATGAAGTAAATTATTTCCTCTATCACGTTCTGTAATCAGAATCCATGTTTTGTGGGTCCTTGATACCTAAAAATCGATAGATTGTAAAATGTTCTTTAGTTCATGGTCAATGCTAGAACCTAAACAGTTCAGTGTTTCTCCAAAATTGATATTTCCCTATCAATCTGAAGAAACTGAAGGTCCTGCAAGTTTCAAACAAATATTTTTCTTTTGGGGTATACTACATCTCAATATCATTTTCAAAATTTTCTCAAAAATGACTAAACTTTTTGATTTAACATGAATAGTGTAAAGAACTCTGAACCCTTTGTGCTCAGAGGGCATTTAGATATGACACATCACTGTGCCATGTTGGATCATATGGGTATGAGTGATGAATGGTATGACCTACAGGTCGGAGAGGATCTCTGAGATGACATCTGCAAATGGCACTTTGGCTCAGCGCGCTCACACACTGTGCACTGTCAGCTCAGACATCATTTAGTCATAACAGGAAAAGGATCGTTGTTTAGATTTTTTAAGTTTTCTCTTGTTCTTGAAATTATAATCACATTATATTTTCTACACAAGCATACTAATAAAACAAAGATATATGTAAATTGTTGAAGAAATTATTATACATAATTTTAGTACGTGAATTTCAACTTTAAATATACTAACCATTTTTATGCATTTGCTTATCTATGAAATTTAGAACAATTAATATATCTATAGAAATATATATATTATATATATATATATATATATATATATATATAAATATAATAATATATATATATAGATGATAGATAGACTAGATAGATAGATAGATTAATGAATAGATAGTATAGATAGATAGATAGATAGATAGATAGATAGATAGATAGATATAGAATATATGTATAGATATATGATATAATAGATATATAGATTATAGGGATAGATATATAGAGATATATAGGATTCACATTTGATATTGTTTTCTCATTTTACCACCCTAATATAAAATATTTTTAGTATGAAAGTTCTCAGAATAGTTTTCAGGTGGGCATAGCAGATTTTTCAGGGTATGATTTGCAAATAAAATAATTCCTTTGAATTCTTCATCCTCTGTCTTCTACTCTATACTTTGTCACTTTCAAAAACATCTAATAATATTTCCATATTATTCTCAATTCTTAGTCATCCATTTTTCACTAAAAAAAAAAGTTGCAAACACGCATAAACACAGGCTTAAGTACAAGCTGCACTTCGGGCTGAACAAATACCGAAAGGAAGGCTAGAATGAACGTTATATTCTTATCGCTCAGATTATTACATCTAACTATGGTTCACTTCAATGCGAACACATATAAGTCAACATTGTTGACTGAGATCTTACTGAAATTCTATAATAGAGTGTATGTCATCTCTGCAGATGCCTTCCAGTTAAACAATAAATTCAACATTGTCATATCGAGCTGGCCCTCTGACCCTGTAGGACATTGTCTAAGACATCACACTCCGAGCTATGTGGCTGCCATCATATCTGTAAAATGTCTCAGAGGGCCTTCTGTCCTGTAGGACTAATTCACTTTTCTGAACATGACTACAAAGGGGTTCAAAATATGGCTGTGCTAATTTTTCATAAAAATCTCCAATTATTTAAAATTGAAAAAGTTAAACTTTGCTCTGCATCTCCCTACAACTAACAATATTAAAGTTAAAGGATTTTGGTTTTAAATGAGCTCTGTTTGTTGAAAGACAAGATCAATGAAAACATGATAAATTTAAAACTTTTCTAAATGTGAAGTAGTTAGTGCATAATTTTGGCTTGAAAATGCATAGCAATTTTTAAACCAAATATTTTCTCAAAACAATGCCAAATTTTTTTTTCATTCAATTTTTCTTCTCAATACTACTCAAAGGGCTTTAAAGAAATTTGGTCCTGTCCTTTTCTTCGCAAGCACTGTATTTTCAAAAATTGCAAAACATTAACATTGCAACAGTATATATATTTAATATGGAGATTTTTCTCTTAATATGAAATATTTTCTAAATAGTCAGATCTTTTTAAAAAAGGTAACTGTACAGTTTTTGGAAAAATTTATAGTAGTTTTTTTGCATAATTTCTGAAGTTAATGCACTTTGCAAAAATTATTTTCTAAAACAGCTTGAAATTTATCTACAAATAGAGCAAAGATTCTATAAAAAGGTCATGGTCTCATATTCATTGACTTCTCTGATTTTTGGAAGGTGGCGAAGAGTTAGAATTTATTGCTCGAAAAGATGTGTTGTTTGTAGCTCCACCAGTTTTGTTAAGGTTGTGTTGAATTTACTGTATGCATTGTAAC